TAACATACATCAGTTTCGGGAAGTAACTTCACTTATTTGGAAGCATGGAGAGTAAATTTGGAATAACCAATCAAATCACAGGATGCTACGTTAAGATAGAGAATTTAGGCGTATAAAAAGCGACTAAGGTTGAAGCCGGCCACCTTTCTCCTTGATTTAGTATATTTTTACTCTATTTTGTAAAGTATGGAATCTTGCTCTGACGATGTCTGTTACAGTACGGATGAAAGCTTAGCATAGATTCACCCGGGTCTCAGGGCGGTGAGCCAAGGACTTCTTCACACAATTCAACAGTCTTCCCTACGCGGCAATCCTCCTTCGGTTTCCGGTGACACCAAATTACGAATTCCTCCTAACCAACTTTCCCTTCGAAATGGAGAGTCATACCAAAATATTTCATTAAGGAATTCTTGAGACCCAATTTTTATTCATATCTTCGAAGTTAATGTCCCTAGACTGAGCAATTAGGACGAGTGGTTTCGTAACCTGACTTACACACTTACAAGCTTACATCTCATTATCTAAATTATACTTGCTTACGGACTTAATCAGTCTCGGTTAGGGCTTTTTCGTAGGTCATTAAGCCTTGCTGACCAGAAACTGACATTAGCCATTTTTATCACTATGATTTATGACCAGTATTATGTATATACGTTAGCACACACGAGAAAAAATAGCCGGACTAGTATAAAAGATAATTAGCCAAACCATCCTATATCTATCTATTCCTGTTAGTTTTTGATTACGAGTATGTATAAGTGGTAAGATAAAGCCGGATAGTCTTATTGACCCTGTGCTAATGCGAGATTAGCAAAAATGAGTTCCAGCTCTGATAATGTCCATCACATCATGGACGAAGATTCACCCCGTTATCGCTCGAAGCTAGGGAGGATATTTCGTGGACTGCGTCAACCTGAACGTCGCAATAAAGCCAAACGGCTGCAATGGAAATCATCCTTCGTCTGATGGGATTAGTCTATGAATCTCTTTCCCATGTACTTTTTACGAAATGAAGGTCTCTTTAACCACTTTATCTCTGGATATTTATCGAAACTCAGTTACTCTTCGTATCTGCTTTTTTAATTCAGTACGCTTGCAGTTGTCTTGATTCCTGGAGACTCCTTACGTTTGTAGCCGATCACCTTTCTTATCTTATACAGTGATCAATATTTATTTGAGCACGGTTTCACGCATCGAACACGTCTCTAGGCATAGGTAACTTTTGTGCAGATTCATTAGATTCGAAGAGCATTATGCATGAATATTACCTCCACACCTTAAGGGCATTCCTTCGGTTTTCATTTAGGCTTATTTATGAATACTTTCTATCGGCACTTTCAAGCATAATGAAATATGCAAAAAACACGTACAAGGTATTAGTAATTTGTTTATCTCGGCCTGAAAAATCTCAGTACATTTATTTTCCTATTTCTTTAGCTCATTACATTTTTATTTCATGCGTAATCAGGACCAAACTTATGGACTTCGCACAATTTTCGGATAAAATCGTGTCCAATATCAACCATATAAATATCCTTGACGCCTTTATTACTTCTCATTTTTTATCCAAAAAAAGATTATTATTCGTTTCTTTTTTAGGCCTATAGCAAGAAAGTTGACAAAATTATTAATAGTGTTAAGCGACGCCAAAAAGACGCCCGCCATCGTGAGATATTTGAAAAAGCATTTCCTGAGGTTAAAAAGATTCGGGAAGATCGAGAACGTGGCTTGGAAGCAGCTCTTCAAGCCTCCGGTGGTGGCAATGTAACTTCCATAAATAGCGCAACTATAACCTCAAGCTCTATCAGTTCTAGCTTCAATTGCATAGAAGGTATTGTTTAATTAACTATTTTTTACTTTTATTTAATTTTTGAAATTGTCTCCTTATTAATTACTTAGCATCGCCTAATTGAATAACTTTATTCCGCATAGATGAATGACCATATTTTTTATCCTTCGAGTTAAATTTTTATGTTCAAATTAAATATAGTCTAAATGTTTTTTTCCGAGTAATGGCAAATTGACATGTTTAATTTTTTTATTTTTATGAACACAATTGAACCTAAAAATTATCATGCTGGGAGATTAGAGATTTGACAGATATCGCTTTTTGCTAGAATATATTCATAACTTGTAAAGGTTATCGAGTTGGTTTTCACAACTTAGTTGTGTTTTAAGGGAGGTTTTG